CCAGGTCCTAACATTTATATACATATAGCTCTTATAGATAATCTACATATATCATTATATGTGTATAATGAACAGTATCATACTTAATAGATTTTTTTTTTGTAAAAACATACTTTATACATTTAATCCGGATATTGAACCATATCTCTTAGTTATTATCCAACAGATGTATAGGAGCATGAAGTTGGAAGAATCCTTGCAAGGTAAAAAACTATAATTTACATTTCAGTTTTAGATTTATGATGATGTACGTATTGCATGTATTTGTTTAGGACGGTAGGACCATGCATGTATAATGATATTCAACATAATGTTTCTATATATCTATGCATATAAAAACACATGAAATATATGGCAGACGAGATATTGGCAAAGAGAAGTGTTAGAGTGACAGGAGAAGTGACTTGGTGGCAGTTTCAACAGTACCTTCATAACTATCAACGTCTTCGAGGCAATGCCAACCTTTTCCAAAATCAACTAAGGTATCGTCTAGTTATTAACTAAAAGTTTGTTTATTGATATATTACCTTTTTGTAGCTTTTTATTAATATATACTTCTGGGTTAAATGAGAAACACAACTATATATGTATACATTTTTCTATGAATTTATTGTAGGCAAGAAGACGAAATGTATGAAAACATAATAACATTTGGAGAATCAAGTAATGGAATTAAGGACGCACCAAGTGACTATTTTACTTGCAAGTCTCTCTATGAATCTTCAAGGGTAAAATTGTGCATTTTTTTGTTAAATATCTATATTATTAAAAGAAAAATACAACAATAAATTATTTAGTAATTTTTCACCTTATGTACAATGTCATACCATTGAAGTTATTAATTAATATACATTTTATGATTCTTTGTCTTTTCATGTTATCTTAATGCATTTTCAAAATTAAATTCTAACTAAAAAAATCATAGCAACAATAATTAATAAATCTAACATTTAGTATTCTTTGTATTTTTTATTATATATATATATATATATATATATGTGTGTGTGTGTGTGTGTGCGTGTGTGTTAAAATAATTAATAAACAGAGTTTTAAATAGTTAATGAACAGTATTATTTTAAAGATATATAATTATATTGTTTTTGTTTTTTATTAGTAATAACTAAAATAAATGTTTTATAAAAGAAAATTTTATATAAAATATAGATTAATATAAATATATTATGTTACATATATTTTCATATAAATAATATTCCATAGTAAATTAAATATGATAAATGTTGAGAAATAATTAGTTCTATACTTTTGCTTTGACAGGTCGTCCGAGTTAGTAAACGTAGAGCTGATGATAACAATCGTAAAACTGTTTGTGATATTCGAGATGATGATAATGTTGTTACTGTGTCACTAACAAAATCGATAAAAGCTTCCAAAGGTGAAGAAGAATTGTCCCTTGAGCTCACTCTTGGTCTCAAGCCTTAAAACAGGAATTCGATATATGCAGAAACCGTTGTAATGTATCTTGTTAATGCAGGTATTTAAAATATGTTTTAATATTTTCTGTATACTAGTGGACACCTAATTTGCAGGATGGTGCCTTTCTCATGAGATTTTAAACCGACGACTGTATGTACTTTCTTTTTCTAGATCATCTGTACGTTGTTGATGATAAACAAATATAAACATTAACATGTTTATTTTAATGACTAGAAGATTTCGCCATGTGCAGCGATAACAAAAAAATTAAAATATATTATTTTAGAAAATAAAAATCAAATTTAATATTTTAAAACTATTTATTTTAGTATAAATATACAAAATTCATAAGTTAATTTTTACTTTTACTTTTGATTTCGTTAAATTAAACGATAAAATAATTTTATTTTCTATTATATTTATGAATTTGTTTATCTTAATTTTTATTAAATATAAATTATATTTACATTTAAGTGATATAAACTAATTTATTAATTAACTAAATAAGTTGACTGAAAATATTTTAAAATGCATATTTTATGGTGATGATATATAAATAAATTTATTAATTTGGTAATTTGGTAATTGATTATTTTTACCAATAAATGAATTATAGCATGATTTGAACAGTTAATTAACAAATATAAATATTACATATTTTTATTTTTCAATTGTAAGTTAATTTGAAATTTTTTTATATATTCGTAATCATGTTATTAGTTTAATTTTTTTATTAGTGGTGATACATATAAGTCATTGTTATATTTAAAACATCTTATAAAAATGTAAAAGCTTCATAAATGCAATTTAATAAGTCATATTAAAAATTTAATCATATCATCATTTTTACTAAGCCTTGTCATTTTTTCTAATGAAAACAAATCTGGTAATGACACATAACCAAAATTAAAATATCGCTTTTCAAATAATTTTAGAGGATTTTAGTAATTAAAACTCTATAATGATGTACAGTGACGAGCTCAAAATTTAGGGGATCATGTGACCTTTACAAATTAATATTTAATTATTTTGGGTTAGAGTAAGATTAGTGTCTAACTCCAGTACATTGATATTCATAGTTTCCAAATACCCCACTAATTCCTACATATTTGTTAATTTCTTATTATAGTATTATCATGTTATAGTTTAATATATCAAATTTGTTGATTATGACTGATGAAAATATTTTTGTTTGTTTTGAACATTGGATTTCATACTGTAAATATGTATGATAATTATTTCCACCTTTTTGTTTTCTGTTCATATTCTTGAATTTTGATTTTTATTTTAATATTTTATAAAGTTTTGTTATGGGTATTGTATTTAAAGATATGAGTATTATTGTTTTCGGAATGAATGTGAAATTTATCTAATCTATTAAAACTTAACTGCAGTTGGACATTAATCTTCAACTCATTTAAGTATTTATAGTCTAATCCCACTGAATTTTAATACCTTTGATTTATAAAATTACTAAACCAGTTTAATTAAATTTAACGACTGGACCTGATATAACGTGTTACAATACAGACTGAACCTAGTGTAGCTTGTTACAATACTAGATATCCCTCAGTTTATGTTGGTCTGCACAATTAAATACAATCGAAACAAAATTGAGTTGACTACCACATTTTTTAATCCAATATATACCAGTTGGACTAACCCTTAAACTAACAATTTAATTATGATTAGTGTCATTCGAAATTAAATAATTCTAATATTTCAACATGAGTTAAGTTTAACAAAACATTTCTTAAAAATATAATCAGTTAATTTTATTTCTGAAACAGAAGCTATCATAGATCGAAACCGAGAGCCTTGTTTTCTGAGAAGAAAACTCAGCCCCAACATGAGTTCAACCTATGCAAGCCTTGGACACATCGATTGAGGGAGCCAACATGTAGCCGACCCCTGCTTCGCAACCTAACAATTTCAGCCCACACCTCATAAGAGTTATATATTAACTACCACTAGCATCATTTAAGAGTTAAAGGTGTAGTCTCATCGAGGGAATATCAAATACAAGATACATGGATTCTTATCCATTCAATTTTCTAATCACACATACAGTCTTATTCTAGTTCATTTCCTCTCTCTTTTCTAGCTTACCTCATTCGATTTTTTTCTCTTTTCTTTGCAAAGGCGGGGTCACAAGAAATTGTCTACCCCTTGCTTCCGCCTTTGTGTGATCATTCCATTCAAAATAAAATAATGAGGTCACATGAAAATTTCATACCCCTTTACTATTCAGAAAATCATCTCATTTTTTTCTATTATTGTTATTACTGAAAGAAAGAGAGAAGAGAACCATGCTTACAAAAAAATTTATTTTTAGACCTGAAAAATAAATCCGATCCAATATGTACCAAACCCCAAGACAAAAGAGTCAAGTCGTTTAATGTTGGAGTCGGTTTTTAAACTTTCAATCAATCTTAAAAACATAGATGTTATTGGCAGTTCAATCCACTTTGGCTTTTCCATGTTATACAGACTGCAATTAATAGATGACATAATGGTGCTAAGGTAGCATTTAGCTGATTAGTCCCAAGTAAAGCTAATATTTTTCAAATGACTTGAATTTTGTTCAATAAAACGACACAATTGACACTCAAAAGAGAACACTGATATATAGTGTTTTTGACATTTGTATATATGTTTTCTTAATTGTTTTCAAGTCGTTATCGAGTCTTTCTAGTAATTTTTGAGTCATTACGGGTCTGGAGTAGGTAAGGAGAGCTTTGGAGAGACACATGGAAAAAATAAAGAAAATTGGAAGTTTTATGTCGCAGAGCACCCAAACGGAGCAACCCCTGCTTGCTCCGAGCCCAAACGGAGCAACCCCTGCTTGCTCGCGAAAGTTATGGAAACTTCTGATTAATTTCGTGATTTACCCTAGTTTTTCTATTTTCTTCTCCCAGCCCCATGTGGCAGACATAGAAATTCTATTCTATTTTTCCTAGACACTCTACGCTTCTTTTCAGAGACAAGAAACTCTAGAGCTTTTGGATATTATGATTTTGATACTTGTAAAGGGAGAAGATCATCTCTCTCGATTTAGAGAAGAATCTTCTGAACCCTATTTATATTTTATCTGCAATAATATTCTTGTCTTCTTCATTTCTTGACTCTGTGTTCTCTGTTGTTATGATTGAGTCATCGATCTTGTTAGCCTAGGATTCTAGGGTGTTGATTCATGAACTGAACATAGATAAGTTTCATCTCTTTGTCTTCGTTTATAGCTGCTCTTAGTGCTAATACTAATCTAATCACTTAGTGTTTAAATCTAGGTTTAACCTTTTATCATTAACCATGAATTAGGTTGCTAGATCTGTTATAAACGAGCATCATATCCCTAATCAGCGAGAGTAGATATTAGGGTGTGATGCGAGCATATTAGATCAGTGTTTATTGTTTGCTGTCGAGCGTTGATCCACGCGATAGCATAGGTATCATGCTCGCTCCGCGAAAGGAGCATACCTGTGAGAGCAGGGTGTTCTAGTTAAGAAATCTGAGCTCTAGACTGTCCTTAATTGAGCTTGAATAATTGTTTGGTTCATCATGTTAACACCCAATGAAGCATCCTAGACTAACATTCTTCATCATCTGAAACCCAACCCAAATCATTCTCTTTTACTTGCTTGTTTTGTTTTCTTAATTTAAAACTCATTCATTGTCTTAGCTTAGTATTGATCCCATAGAAATGAAGTGTCAGATTTGGTCTCTGTGGATTCGATCCTAAAGTGCTATATCGACATACCATTCCATTGTGGTAGTGTGCACATTAGGTTAATTGGTGTGCGTATACACGTAATATCAATTTTTCGCCATTGCCGGGGATCATCTTTTTACCTTTATTTTTGGTTATTTATTTAGTCTAAGACCTCTAACTTGCTCTTTTCTCTTTGTTGCATGTACACTCAGCAACCAAGAACTCGCAAGGTTAGAAAAAGAGAACATACAATAGCCAAGGCCAACCAACACCACCTTGGGTGATCACGACCATCAGGATGATCTCGCTGCAGCAATGCAACTGATGCAAAAGCAAAAGCTCCATATGCAGCAGACCATCCAACAACAGGCTCCTCTCGCGCAGCAGGAACAGCAGGTGCAGGCTGCTCCAATCGGTGAGAGAAACCTAACGCATAACATCCCTGCTACGTGCTCTGCCATTGTTCCTCCGCCTTGCACCATGCAGGACTTCGAGATCAAGCCTGCTTTGATCGCTTTAGTGCAGAGCAAGGTGTTCAGTGGTGTACCAGCAGAGATCCCAATAGAACATATTGAGAGCTTCGAAAAAATCTGCAGTTTCACTCGTGCGAATGGCATGCCACCACACTACATCATGTGCATGTTATTCCCACTCTCTCTTGAGGGAAAAGCGGCACGGTGGCGGAAATCTCTCCCTACCAGCTCTCTCACTACATGGGAACAGGTCAGAGCAGCCATCCTGAGCCACTTCTACACGAAGGCAAAAACAGATGCTCTAAGAAGCAGGATCACCTCATTCAGGCAGCTCACTGACGAGCCTTTTTGCGACGCATGGGAGCGTTTCAATGACTATCGCAGAGAAGGCCCTCACCATGGATTTGATGATGATTACCTCTTAGGCATTTTCTATGATGGATTAGAATGGGAAGTTCAGAGTGCTCTGAACTCTGGGAGCAGGGGAGATTTCATGACATAGACCACTGATGGTGCGTTAGAACTGATAGAGAACATGACTGCTAGTTCTGCAAACAGGAGCTCAGAAACAGATCGCTCCAAGAAGATGAATAGTGTCGATACCCATAAGATAGATGAGTTGATAGCCAAGGTTGATCAACTGCTGAAGAACAACCAAGGACAAATCTATTTATTGGGAGAGACAACTCCTGAGCAAGCCACACAAAATAATTACCAAGAGAGCAACCAGCAGAAACTGCAGAGCAATCAGCAGGCTGCTCCAGCTACTGCCAGTGGTCCGCAAGATGAGCTGAAGGTTTGGCTATGTGATGCAACAACTGATG